CCTCCGGTCCGGTCCCTCCCCGTGGGGGCGGAGCTCGTGCGCGGCCGCCTCCCGAAGCTCCTCCCACCAGCCGGGCTGAGCCGGAGACCCTCTGGCTCCCGTGAGGGGGGCTCTCAACGCGGATGGTGAAGGGAGGGAGCGAAGGAGACAATTAGAAGCAACAGCACTGTGGACCTCAAGCTTTTATTGAAGAACGGCGGAACGCGTCACTGGGCTGTGTTCTGCGGCGGGAGAGGAACAGTCACGCCGTGGGATTCTCCGGTCCAGTGACGCCAGACTGCGCCCTTCCCTCCTGTCCCCACCTGTTCGTCGCGGGCCTCCATATCGCTCGGGAACCCCTCTCCAGCCGGCGCCTGAGAACCCAGCGTGAAGATCTCCAGATACCTGGGCAGGCGGCCATTCCACCCTAAACAGCCCTGAATTTAAATTAGGTCATAGAGCTTTGCCTCTGGGATCGTCCACGTCTTTCTTTAGTTAATAAGGTGCTTCTCTTAACTTTAAATATATTTCATGTGCAAAAATTAGTAATAAACCGACGCCCATCTTCTGCTGTGGTCTTGGGGAGATCTGCAGAGTTGTTCTGCACGCCCTGCGCTGGTGACCACTTGGGCCTTTGAGCCCTGCCGCCTCTTTGTGAGGAACACCCCTTCCCTCTTAGCACTGCCCACCTTGAGATTGACTTGTCAAGAAACTGGGGGACCCCACAGCTGCCACTGTCTTATTTACGCAGATTTTCAGTACAGTTATCTCCTGCTCCACTAGTGACTAGAGAAACAGCCGGGAGTGCTGCAGCAAGGAGCGTCCCAGTGGTGTTGCACACCCTAGCTCCTTCCCCAGTAGCATGGCCACGGGGATCAGTGGCTGGTCCTGAATGTGGGGCCTCTCACCCCACTCACCGGTAGTATTTACACCAGGTGCTGTTTCCTGTGAAGAGTCCACCGGAACATGCTTCTGCCCTGCCAGGCACAGTGTCCTCCGAGGGAGCCCGGTCCTCACTTGGGAGTCTATGGGCAGCCTGAGCGAGGCTCCCCGCTGCAGTGCCCAGTACTCTTCCTCAGAAGGGAACAGAGGCTGCCATCTGCCTCCACTCCCAGGCCCATGTATGTAAAGGAGCTGCAGCCGGTATGGGCTCCCACCCACACTGGGCGACCCATTACCCACCTGAGAGCCTGGGAACACTCTGGGAATCCTGGGGTGATCTGGAGGCTCGTTTTCCTCCAGGGCACCAGCCATGGGACCAGTGCTGAGCCCTCAAAGGTCCAGGATAGGTGGTTAGCAGCAGCAACAGCAACAGCAGCAGCAGTAGGAGGCCGAGCCTAGAGCTGGCCATGGCAGGGCTGCTCTCAAAGACAATGGGCAGAACTCAAGGACCCTGGTACTTCCTCTTTCTCCAGGGTCACCCTGGCCAACAAGCATCTCAGGCAGCTTTAGTGTCTCTCAACACCTTTCCCTTTCAGCCACTTCTCATCCCAGGCCTACAGGGGTTCAGACCTGGTTCAGGCCTGGGCCAGGGAAGGTACTCCAGGGGAACATTCCGAGCACCTGGTGCTAGGGAACCAGAGTGGTGGGCTCTGAGACCTGCCATCTCCCTTCTGTGGTAGCTGGGGATATGGAAGATACGTGTTGGTGATGGAAGCAAGTGCTTCCATACCTTGTCCCTCCCATGCCAGGGTGGCAAACACAGGAATACATAGCATTGCTGGGAGGAGCAGGGAGCAAGGGGGCTCTTTGCTAGGAATGGCTCAAAGGTGGAAGGGCTTGGGAGGGGTAAAGGAGCAGTGTGTTGCACACCCAGGCTGGAGCTCCATCCAGGAGTACTGAGTGAGGGCAGCCCCCCAACTCACCAGGACAGCTGTGGCAGAGGTAGCTCCTTTGGCAGCTGCAGGACCTAAGTCAGCAGCCCTAGGATTTATTGACCAGGTAGCTCCACCTTCTCTGCTGTGGCCCACAGATTCCAGTGACGTCTTGAAGATGAGAGGAGCAGCTTGCCACCCCACCCCATCTCATAGCTTCTATTTCATGAACATACCCTGGGCCACCCCTGGCTCTACAGTCACCAGACACGCCCCTCCTCCCTTCCCCGTCTTCCTAGAGACCCGAAGTTTGAACAAAAATGTCAAAATAGCTGCAGAATGGTCTAAAGGAGAGCAAAGTTCCTTTTCTGAGCCCTAGAGCTTTAATGAAGGGGTAAACTGCCTCAGAGACATCATGCTGGAAAATGAATCCACCAGAGGGAACGTTGTTTTGAAATCTTAACAATACCTTGTAAGGTTTGAGAGAGCCCAGTTTTGCCTCCTGACCTGGACATTGCAATGGATTTACAGAACACATGACCAGCCTTATTTGCACCAAACAGCCTTAATCCTACTTCCCTCTTCCAAAGGCTAAACTGCACATGCTTCCTTCTTGTTCCAAAAGCCTGCTTTCTGTAGGCAGGACACTGGTTCAGTCTAACTAAACCTGTGCACCCAATCTGCAGATCTATTCTGTACTTGAATAAAACTATCTTTACTTTTATTTTCACCTTGTTTATGACTTCTTGGTTTACAGAAGTCACCGGACTCCTGCTCTAGGCTGGTCCATGTCCTGGTCTCATCTTCCCACCTTCCAGGCTGCATCCTCAAGCTCCTTCCCTTGAGGCCTATATAAATCCCTCCATGATCCAAAATTTGTGATCCTATTTCTGAAGGCTAAATGTGTTCACCCATTAAAATGGGCAGGTAGGCCAGCTCGTATCCACACACCTGGCACAGGGCTGGGTTGCACCAAGTGCAGGTGAGTTTGGGTGTTCTATCCAGGGTTGTCCCTTCTTCCTTTCAATCAGGCCCAGGAGTAGGGATCAGCTGAGAGGACCTGCAGTCTCTCTGGGGCTATCAACAGTGGGTAAATTTGTCTTCCAGCTTTAAAGGCCTTTTTCATCCCATGCTCACCAAGATCATTTGTGGATTTAGACAGAGCTAGGCCCTCTTCTCCCAGTTTGCCTCAGTAGCTCAGCTTTCCACCACCAGCCATCAGCCTCTAGGGGTCAGAGGCCTGTTTACAGGGTTAATAGCCAATTGGCATTTAAGCTCAAAAGCAAATTTGAGAACGGTCAGGCTTGGCATCCTGGTGAGTAGAGTCACTGTGCAAACAGATTCGTCAAATCCTGTGACAAAGATGGGGAGGGAGCTCACAGCAGGCACTATGGACACTACGGACAGTCCTGGGCACCTGGGTTTCAGCTGTGATTTTCCAAATTGACATATTAGCAATGGCTTGAAATGAATGTGAGGATTGTATGTTCAGTTAAATTGTTTTGGGAAATATATAGATTTTGTAAATAGTGATTTTTAGAAAAATATTTGCTTGTGGTTTATTAAACGTAGCCCTTTGGAAAGGGAATAAAGGAGGGGGGAGGGAGAAAGGAAGGGACAAGAAAAAAAGTGAAAATAGAAGGGAAAAATGGAAACAAGCTTTTGTACACAGGGAGGGGAGAGGAATTTGAAGGGAGAGGGAGGATGGGAAAAAAAGGCAGGAGGTATTGTGAACAGGTACAAATTCCCTGTGATGAGTGCTATCATTATGTATGTCTAAAATGTACCAATAGACCCTGTCTCAAAAAAAAAAAAAAAAGTACCAGTTGGGTGTGATGGCACACACCTATAATCTCAGCGCTGAGGAGGCTGAGACAGGAAGATCACTGCAAATTTGAGGCTAGCCTTGGCTACATAGTGAGTTCAAGGTCAGCCTGAACTGCAAAGTAAGACTGTTTCAAAAAACAAAAACAACCCCCGCTAAAATGTACCAATAAATGTTTTTGCTATAAAAAAAGACTGTACAATCTTGAGTAAACTATAATTCCATTTATTTGAATAATAGCCCTTTGAAACCAGGCACAGAGGCACAGGTCTGCAATCCCAGCTACTCAGGAGGCTGAGGCAAGAGGACCACAAGTTTGAAGGCAGTCTGGGAAACATAGTGAAGCAGGAGACTAGCTAGGAAAGTAGGAGTTAATTACAAAATCCCAGGACAAATGTGCCTAACAGTTCCCAAAGCCCTGCACCTGCACATGGACTTCTCACTGGAACTCAGCATGCTTTTTGATGGGCTGGCCCAGATGTTATGCCAGCCTCAGGATGGAAAATACAAAATGATGGCTGGCCTTGAGCTAAGGGCAACTGTGTCCTTTCACAATAAGTAGTTCTTCGTGCTCACCTTTTATTTTCTTTTATTTTTTTGGTACCAGATATTGAACTTAGGACCTTGTGCTTTTGAGGCAGGCATGGTGCCACTGAGCTAAATTCCTGGTCCTGTTCATGCTCATCTTACCAAATGTACTTATTTTCCTGTTACTTGGTCCAGACTCACTCTGCAGAGCCTGTTTCTCTTCCTGTCTTTAAGAAATGGAAAACCTTGCTACCATTTGCACTTGTCTTGGCCAATTCTTTGCTCAGGACAGAAGGCACCTAGAAACCAACTCTAGGATGAGGCTCCAGCAGCGCACAATCCAATACCAATACAAGAGCCTGTTTTAAATAAAAGAAAAAGGGCTGGGGATGTGGTAGAGCATTTGCCTAGCATATACAAGGCCTGGGGTTTGACCCCAGCACTGCAAAACAAACGAGCAAATACCTCTTGGAGTTCAATCACCTAGCTCTGTTCTGGGTTGGGTTTACAGAATGTTTCAAAGTCCCTAGTGTTTTGTTTTGAGACAGGGTCTCACTATGCAGTTCAAGCTGGCCTCAATCTTGTGGCGATCCTCCTGCCTTGCCTTCCAAGTGTTGGGGATCAAACTTCGGGGGCATCATGGATTTGGGTCAAGCATTCTAGCACAAAGCTACACACCTGGTCCCCTGATATTTATTTTAAAAGAGGAATAGGATGCCTTTGTTTTTTTCTGTAATTTGATTATGATTTTTCCTGAAAAAATCCAGAGTAACTAAGCTTCCCAGGGAAAGTTGTTTCCTATCTTTTTGGCACCATAGTTAGCTTTTTAGGACTAGCTGATATCCCTTCTAGATTACCAACTCTGGAATTTTTCCTCATCCTCTCAGCAGAACAGGAAAGATACTTGTCCACCATCGACCTCCAACCAATGCCTGGTTCTGAAGATAAAACATCACTGCAGCTGGGTGTTGCTCATAGCCAGCTGGCAAAGCAGAAGGTTAGAGCTGAATGCCCAGCTGTAGTCAGAGATATCTATGTACAGACCCTGAGGATAAAGATGAGTTAGCTGGAGAGGTGGGAACATCATGGGAGGGCACAGTGGGGCTTGCCGGTAAGAGAACAAAATGGAGAGCTGCTGGTGATCTGTAAGTACAGTGTGGTGGGGTGGAGCACACTGGAGGTGGAACCCAAAGGATTGGGGGCACCTGGGCTGGGGGATTAGTGACAGGTGCCTCCAGGTAATTCTGAGTTAGTCACTCGGCAGGAAAGGCTGGGGGAAAAGGGGAAGGGCAGAGGAAAGCTAAAGGTCCAGAGAGCCCACACCCTCAAACTCCAAGGAAAGAGACTACGGAGAAAGAGCTACAGATGGAGATAAAAGTCTGGAGGACCACTAGTACCAGGGGAGAGTTAGTAGGCGAGAAGCAATGGATCCCTGAAAAACCTGGTAAGTTCAGGGGAAAGGCATGTGTTATGGTTTAGATGTAAAATTCCTCCCAAATTCTAGGAGATTGAACCATGGGGGCGCTATACTCATCAGCAGATTTATCCATCCATGAGTCCATAGCTGAGTGTGCTGTTAGGAGGCGAGGCCTCGCTGGGCATGGGTCACTGGCGGGTGTGACCTGGACAGGTGCATTCTTGCTCCTCCCCGCTTCACTGTCTTGCTTTCTGGCTGCCACAGGTTGAGCACCTTCTCCTCCACCACACCCTTTTGCCATGCTGTTTCTTCCTTGCAGCCATGGATGGAAACCATGAGCCAAAGTAAACATCTTCTCTTTAAAGTTTGGGTGTCAGGTATTTCGTCCCAGTGATGGCAAAGTAAGATACATGTGTGGGTATGAAACAAGAGAGGAAGGAGGGCCAGGGATGTAGCTCAGTGGTTCAGCACCTACCTGGCAAGCATGAGGCTGAGTTTGATTCCTGGTACAAAAAAAAAAAAAAAATTGTGGAAAGAGTGCAGAGTATAGACTTTTTTATATCTGTCATAAAGGGGAAAGAACTTAGGCTCTGAAGGAAATGTATTTTGGGGGTGATGAATGAATAAAAATATGCTAAATTGTATTATAAATTTTGATCAAAAGACATTTAGGATATGGGGAGGAGCAAAGACAGAACAGAAATGTATTGAGTAAAAGACTTTGGTGAGGGCCGGGGATTTAGTTCAATGGTTCCGCTGCCTGCCTCACAAGGACCTGAGTTTGATCCC